GAAGGAAGGAAGGAAGGAAGGAAGGAAGGAAGGAAGGAAGGAAGGAAGGAAGGAAAGAAGGAAGGAAGGAAGGAAGGAAGGAAGGAAGGAAGGAAGGAAAGAAGAAAGGAAGGAAGGAAGGAAAAGGAAGGAAAGAAGAAAGGAAGGAAGTTTATTCAGAATTTAAAGCTATTGGCCCACATCACGTCATATAAAACACTCATTTGATAAATAAAGTACCCATAATGAAAAAGTACAGGTAGTGCACATATCTCTTATCATGAGTCAAACATTACATTTCTGTCACTGGGCCGAGCCAGGCTGGGAGGAAATAACAACCAGGCTGACAATCAAATTATTTTATTGTACGTGCATACATAAACATCTCCAAAGTCAGATAAAAAAAAGTAACAGCTGTAGTTTTCACACCATCAACGTCGAAAACAATTTATTTGACCATTTAGACATCGGGTTGCATCGACCCTGAACTTAAATACATTTTTAGAAATACCGGTTTAAAAGTTTAAAAAAAAAAAGAATAACATTCCTGTACTTAAATATCAAGCGACTAGCCAAGGATAGGGAAAGATGGAAAGTGTTTGTTCGTGGCCTATATCCTGATCCAGGGTGAGAAAGACAATGATGAAGGAAGACTACTTTATTAAATATCATTGTTTTATGAGACATCATGAAGTGATGACGTCAGGCTGACTCACCCACACAGATGGTGTCCCTGGTTGTCGTACACTGAGCTGCCTCGTACTGGCTCCCAAAACAAACCGTGCAGGCTGAGGATAGAGGGAACACAACCGTGGTTTATCCTTCTGTCTGCGTATTTGTTTGTTTAGTAGGTTGGTTAAATGGTCGCTTTTAAGCACAAGGGGGCTATCCCGAAAAAAGCAGTTTTGAGAAATTCGAAGGTAGGGTTTTTGCCCCTTGTTCAGTTTCTTTAAAATACAAGGAGCGTTTTTTTCTATAACCAAACAAATATACACACCAATGAAACCAAACGTCTCCTGTAGGTAGGGAAATGTTTCACTTTTGGTGTAGGTCAAGATTTCTGGAAACCCCTGAAATCTGGGTTAGCCCGCTTGTCCTTAAAAGCCACCAAATAACAGTTCACACAACGGTGGTTTCTTACCCTTCTGTCTGTATCTTTGTTTGTTTGTTTGTTTGGTAGGTTGCTTAAGTAAAAGTTCATATTCCGGGCTATTTTATATTATACGCGTAATTTCTTTGTTTGTTAGTTTACTCAAATAAAAGTTCATTCCCCAGGCTATATCATTATGTCTGGATCTTTTGTTTGCTCGGCAGGTCGGTTTAAAAAAAGTTCATACCCCTAGGCATATTATTAAAATATATGCTCACATTCTTTGTTTGGTATGTTGATTCAATAAAAGTTCACACAACTGGCCATAGAATATGTGCACAAGTATTTACCTATAGGGCAGTAGCCGATCGAATGTTCGGGAAAATATTGAAAAGAAGTAAATTGAAACATGACGAATTATGCAAAACACGATTATAAACTCAAAGAGGAACAATAATGTAAAATGTTTACATAATGAGTAACATCAATACCAATATTTTATTTTATACGACGCATATTTTAATTAGAGGTTTATGGAACAAAAAACACAAAATACGTCACACAAAAGCAAAAGTTACAAGTGTTTTGCTTCAGTAAGCTTTTACAGCACTTTCAACAGAACTAGGTCATATACTCGTAAGTGCAGAAGATTAAGAGGTGCTACAAGAGAGTAACAAACACTAAAGAGGAGGAGCATTTTTTTAATGGCTATCAACACTGCTAGGTACGTCGTGTTTTACTGTCGTATCCATACAACGTGGGGAACTCTGTGCCACCACTTTCCAAAGAGGAAATTTACTCGTTTTCCTATCCGTATGCTTTGCATAGCAGTCTGTAAAAATAATTATTTTAATAATACTGAAAGTTTCAAAGAGATCTTCGTACTAGAAGCATTCTAAAATGTGAAGAATACAACCCCGGGGGTACAAAATGACCTCAGGGCGTACGGATAGGGCTAAGAGGAGGGAGGAGAATAGATAAGGACGACAGATCGCGACCTCAGTGCTTTCTTGTCATATCTCTGTTTTAATAATAATGAAAACAGTTTATACGAAAGTGTGAGCGTAAGAAATAGTCACATTTTCAATGTAAAAAAAGAAAAATTAGGTTCGACAAGAAAGCACTGAGGTCGCGAGATGTTTGAAAGGGAAGGACGATCAGCAAACTGTAGTAGAGCAGTCACCAACCACCCAGCACTCACGTTTGCAGATGGCGTCCGTGTCCACGGAGCAGGCAGAGACCAGGTAGTGGTCGTCGGGACAACGGCTGCTGCAAGCTGGGGACAGGGATTGGCGGGGTTTTTGTTTTAGAAGAGGTTTTACGGCGCTCGCAACTGCATAAGGTCATATGAGCGCCAAGGGGTGGATGTCAACAGATAAGTCCTTACACAGCGAATCAGACTTACAATGCTCACCTCTCTAGCTTCAACAGCACAAAGTCTGCTTCGACTGTCAAAGCACCCAGGAAATAGCGGGTCACAAGAGTGTGACAAACATACAAAAGAAGTAGAGGAAAATGACGATAGTAAGGATTAGGAAAGAAAAGGCAAGAGTTCCCTGTTGTAGTTCAGGCACAGTTATGAGCATGACATTGTTGGATCAGCCCTTTACAATTCTACCGTGCATTAGAACGAGAAATGTCCCCCCTTTGGGAATGGCCTAAAGACACTTCAGTCAGTAGCACCGCCCCGTAGACGGAATTTGAGAGAGAGACCTTTGTGTGTGGTTGGGGGAGGATTGTGTATGTGTGTGTGTGTGTGTGTGTGTGTGT